CAGGAGAAAGAAGAAGAGAAGGAGGATAAGTAGGAAGAAGAAGAGAAGGAGAATGAGGAGGAAGAAGAAGGGGAGGAGGAAGAAGGAGAAGAAGAAGATGATGATGATGACGAAGAAGAAGAAGTAATATATCTGAATTAAAAATATGATTGGTTCATAACCAGACCACTGATTGGCTGGCAGTCTATCAAGTAATTAATTGAATGTTAGTCAGATCACTGATTGGCTGGCAGTCTATCAAGTAATTAATTGAATGTTAGTCAGATCACTGATTGGCTGGCAGTCTATCAAGTAATTAATTGAATGTTAGTCAGATCACTGATTGGCTGGCAGTCTATCAAGTAATTAATTGAATGTTAGTCAGATCACTGATTGAATATTACAGGAAATCTCTTGTTTGGTTATCAGTTTAAAACTACTTTGCTGTTTAAATTGTGTGGGCACCTTCAGATGTTGATACTATCTTTTGGAACTAAAAGAAGGATAATATAAACTACTAGTTATTGACGAAAATAACGTAAGTTGAAAGTGATAACAGTTCAAAATTAAACTGAAAATAGAAATAGATAAGAGATATCTGTTGTTACACATATGATGCATTTACTGTTGAATATGTCTAGTAAGAGAAATTGAGTGCTGTTGGTTTTGATTGTAGTGTTATATAAATGCATAAATGAGAATCACAAAGCTTATTTCCATGAAGTAAAAGTTTGACTGCCTCAGAACAACAACATTCTGTTGGTGTGGCAGTATGTACTCAAGTAACAATGTCACAGGCATGAGGTTCGTATCCAGTCAGACACTAGCATGCCCACACTGCTGCGGGCTGCTCCTCCACTAGTGTAGCCCTGGTGTAGCAGTATGAACTCAAGTAACAATGTCACAGGCATGAGGTTCGTGTCCAGGCAGACACTAGCTTGCCCACACTGCCCAGGTGTAGCTTCCCAGCTGCAAATTCACACAGTTAATGAACTGTGTGGGGAGGATGGGTAGCTATGACTATCATTCCATACTGGTGTAGAAGCTCTGTAATGTATTCAATCCATCTTCTCCAAGGGCAGCCTTTTGATTTCACTTCAGATCTTTTCATCTGTAGATGTTCTGGCACATTCTTACTAGATGATCAAACCATTTGATCTTCTGTTTTGCTGCACAACCTGGTGCTGTTCCTACAGCCTGTCTGGTTATATCATTTCTAACTTTTCTCTGATTCCTTGGTGCTCTAATGTATGTTTGGCTGTCTTAATAACGATGTCAGTTGGCACACAAGTATAAGTGCACTGGCTCATTGGCATCTTGTGTCTATTTCCCGATCTATTCTCCTGTCTGCCAAGAATAAACTTGCTAGATATTTAAAATTTCAATTCTTTTACTTGCTTCGGACAAGTTAAATTCATTCTCTTGATGTACTCGGGATTTCTCCTTCACTTGATGTGAAAGAGAGAATGTAGTCTGTCATTCTCTGATATGGGTAATCAGTTTTCTTTGTAAATTTCTTATAAGACATAATATATTGCATTCTACAAATATAGGAAGCTATGATTTCACAAGAAGTATGTGAACTTACTAAAACATAAAAACAAGTGCCGGCAATGACAAGCGTTTACAAACATTTAGGCTGAATAAATGAGCCTGACTTGGTGTATAGATCAATTCAAATATATGGTAGAGCCCTTGACAGATTTGTTCGTAAAATTCAGAGATTCAGCAAACTGGTTCCTGCGACCTTCAGGCTGGCCAGAAAGAGGCGTGGCTTTTGTTTCTACAACCTCAGAGGAGTGTCAACTAAGGAACTAACTCAAATGAATTCAGGACATGTACAGACTTTAAGAACCACCTGAACATGCTCCTGTTGACAAACAACGTTCAAGACTGAACAAAGACACTATTAGACTCTTCCTTGCCACCCTTATAAACAAGGATACAAATGTTTGCATCATATTCAATTAAAAAATCTACTTATTGCTATATTTACAATTATCTAAAAAAAAAATTGATTACACAATTTGTTTGCGATTATCTCAAGAGTTGTAAACCAAAGCAATCCAAAAATGACCCCTTTGAAAGGTGCGTCATTAAAAGAATATCCATCATTTACACAGATTCTCATGATTTGCCAGATGCATGAGTCATGGTCTGAGGGCAATGAATCAAGTCATAAACTACTGACACAAAACATGCTCACCAGGAGGTCAAGCACTCTTCATCCAATGTAGAGAACCTATCACTCCACAAACTGACATTCACCAAATGTACATTTTATTCCACAACAGACATCTTCTGTGATGTCAACAGTTATTCTATTAAGTATCAGAACAGAGTCATACAGCAGACAGACACACAGCAGACAGACACACAGCAGACAGACTTGGTACAGTTTCACACAACATGAATTCAAATAACAATATACATTTTAACAAATGGAAAACTGCTGCATACTTGTCGTGATGTGTACACCAAAGCACCACACTTCCTGAAGAGACTGATGTGCCACCAGTCACCTCATGCTGCCTGCGTTGCTGCCATGGCATTATGGCAAGCAGATTGCTGAATATTGGAGCTGTTAGTGTCCTCGACCATCAGAACAATGCCAGCTTGTTGAAATATTGAACAACTTGTCAGGTTTAAACAACAGGGCCCAGACTGATAATATTGCTGTTTTTTGTGTCAATTAAAAATATCCTGATCCTCAGCCAGCTTGCTGTTCTGTGTGTAGTGTGCTATTCTGTGTGTAGTGTGCTATTCTGTGTGTAGAGTGCTGTTCTGTGTGTAGAGTGCTGTGTGTGTGTGTAGTGTGCTGTTGTTTGTGAAGAGTGCTGTTCTGTGTAGAGTGCTATTCTGTGTGTAGAGTGCTATTCTGTGTGTAGAGTGCTGTTCTGTGTGTAGAGTGCTATTCTGTGTGTAGAGTGCTATTCTGTGTGCAGTGTGATATTCTGTGTGTAGAGTGCTGTTCTGTGTGTAGAGTGCTGTTCTGTGTGTAGAGTGCTATTCTGTGTGCAGTGTGCTGTTCTGTGTGCAGAGTGCTGTTCTGTGTGTAGAGTGCTATTCTGTGTGCAGTGTGCTGTTCTGTGTGCAGTGTGCTGTTCTGTGTGTAGAGTGCTGTTCTGTGTGTAGAGTGCTGTTCTGTGTGTAGAGTGCTGTTCTGTGTGTAGAGTGCTGTTCTGTGTGTAGAGTGCTGTTCTGTGTAGAGTGCTGTTCTGTGTGTAGAGTGCAGTTCTGTGTGTAGAGTGCTGTCCTGTGTGTATAGTGCTGTGCTGTGTGTGAAGAGGATTATTTCCACTAAGTTTATAAAATTAGATACTGCAGCATACTTGGCTACATACGATTTGTTGTCAGTTCTTCGATTGAGCTCTCATACGATTTGTTGTCACTTCTTCGATTGAGCTCTCATTGGATTTGTTGTCAGTTCTTTGATTGAGCTCTCATACGATTTGTTGTCAGTTCTATAAATTTCTATAAACATGTCTAGTGTGATAGAGGGCAACTGTGAGACCTTAGACTTTGACCTGGTTTTAAGACCAGCATGGTTGGTTCAGGAGTCAAGAGTATAGTTTAAGAAAAGAACAGCGTAAGTTGGGCACAAGAAACTGTTTGACTCACAGGTAGGTTGGTTAGGGAGAGATACAGAGAGCATCCCTGTGAGGCTAAGACAGTGACTTTTTCTCGTGGCCTGATATGGCAGGGAACGGATGTGAAGCTTTCAGCCAACACCCAGCAACAAAAGGATGCACCCCCCCCCCCCCCCTCGGACCGGACATAGCAGCCAAATCGAGCAGCAAGGATTTTGGATATTGCAACGAGTTAAGCCCCACCCCCCCCACCCACCTTGTGTCCCTGCCATAATTAATTTAATTGACTGTTGACTGTTTGTCTTATCTACACTGGTTTTTGTGTGATGTTTTGGTAAAAGCCAAGCTGAATCATAGAAGGGAACTTTGTGTAAATGTATCTCCGAATCATCTTCGCTATCCTGGGAACACAACTAACCTGTGACTGTTGTCTCCTGGCTGTTCAATAATTATAGATTAAGACAGAGTTTCTCAAACTTGTCTAAGTTGGGGCTCCTTTTTTCAATTACATTTTTTTCTACGGCGCCCTAACCTAAGTAAAAGTATGAATATTTGTATGTAAGAGATAAATACAATTAAACTCATGTGTCTTCAAATATTTCGCGGCACCCCTTTGAAGAGTTCACGGCTTTCTGGGGCGCACAGTTTGGGAATCACTGGACTGAGACATTACCCCTAGCAATTACTTCTGAACTAAGAGCCAGTGTCCTCATTACCTCTAGATTTTAGAACCGTTCAACAGTCCACCACCCCCCACCTGATAAAATTATAGTCTCTTGAAAACTTAGTAAATCTGCCATTTTGTTTAACATAAAACGTGTAATATAAACAGCACAAATGTATTATGTATCAACACAGAAACAGATTTAAAAAAACCAAAAGTGGATAATGAAATATAAAAACCATAAAGAATGTTGGTTTTTACATTGAACAATATCAAAATGTATCATACCAGTTTACAGTAACAAATATAATATTGTAACTATCTTGACATTCTGGACTTCACCAGAAAATGACAAGACACATGTCAAGTGACAAAAGTGACTGTCGACAAATGGCCTACAGTTTTATAAAGGTTTCTATATAGTGAGTTGATCTGAAAAATTCTTTGTTTCAAGATGGCTATTCTTCGGTAAACAACATGACGTGAAGTTAGTCAATGAAAGCATGAGCAAAAATGTATCATGAGAACTTTTGTCTAGTATGGCACTATGGTTATTCCTCAGTGTGATCACAGAACAATGTTCCACCCACATTATCCACATAAGTATGAGTACTGCTGGTCAGTTGTCTGAGCCTCATCAACCAGGGTCAGGTATGATCAAGTAGTCCAGTCACAAACTTTGTTGATGATAGTGAGAATGCTAATAATGAACCTCCCTTCATGACTGCATCACAAGACACTCACTGAGCAGCAGTTACTGCCGCAAGTCAAAGTGCTGACAGTCCAGACGAGACACCAGAATCATCTGAAAAGTTGCTGCTGTAACAACGGTGACCATCGATGCTGCCGTCGCTGCCCAGACTTTCCACACTCAGCTGATCATCGGTGTCACTCAGGAAGCCACCAATAACATCAATCTCATCTGGTGAAACCAAAATATATTCATAAAATATTACATAACCACAACAACACATGTAATACTTTATAAGCAACTATGTCAGTGAAGCATCCTACGTTATATGTCAAAAATCAGTGTCTGCTTTCTCATTTATTAACTTCACTGAACACTTTACCTCATCTTCAACTCTCAGTCTATTCAGTAAAAAAAAATCACTGTTCATGAAACTGAAAGCCTCACAGCATTTAGTCTCTCATTTGGCATCGATGATGTCTCTCTGTCCACAAATGGCCCATTTCTGATAGTTGCACTACTGAAAGCCTCACAGCATTTAGTCTTTCATATGGCATCGATGATGTCTCTCTGTCCACAAATGGCCCATTTCTGATAGTTGCACTACTGAAAGCCTCACAGCATTTAGTCTCTCATATGGCATCGATGATGTCTGTCCACAAATGGCCCATTTCTGATAGTTGCACTACTGAAAGCCTCACAGCATTTAGTCTCTCATTTGGCATCGATGATGTCTCTCTGTCCACAAATGGCCCATTTCTGATAGTTGCGCTACTGAAAGCCTCACAGCATTTAGTCTCTCATATGGCATCGATGATGTCTCTCTGTCCACAAATGGCCCATTTCTGATAGTTGCACTGCCACCCAGAAGCATCTGCTCTCTCATTACCTTTCACACCAGCATTCCCTGGGACACAAATGAAGGACATTTGGTAAAACCCTGCATGCTGTATCAGATGGGTCTCTGTGTCTGTATGTACCTGGCCTTGATCTTCTGTAGCATGCTTATTGAGTCACTGAGCAAGCACACAGTGGTGACCTCCCAAGGTTTGAGCCATTCTAGGGCTTTTGTCACATCCATGACTTCCATTCTCATGCTACTGGAGGTAGAAGCCAAGGCTCCACTGTCTTCTTTAATGACTTTCCCTTTGGTTCTTGCGGTGAAAGCCCATGCATTTTGCTTCTGATGAATCACAGAACCATTTGTATTTGTTTCAGCATCTTCCGGTGATGTGTGTTCCTCCAGCAATGCTTTCATGTCTGCATCAACTACTGGTGGCGCCAAATCATGGCACTGTCTTGTCTGGTTGATAACCACCACAAAGTACTGCTTGTGTTAATTTGGTATAGGTATCCATTCCTCTCCATGGTTTATGGATGTTGCTATTTCATCACACTGTTGGATGTTGGTTGTTAATTTATCAGCTTCCTGTGTGGCTTTTCTGCAGCCCAGCCCTGGGTCCTGGTGGGATTGCCAAATTTTGCTTGTCCTATGCAACTCATCACTCATGCTTCTGACAACTGCCAGTCTTCTGCATTTTACAGTTCTATTCTCTTTTCTACCTGATACCACTCCTGTTTTGTGATTTTCAGCACTGATCTCTAAGATTACAGAATTGTACATTCTGGTACTGCAGCAAACATACAGAGGCTCTGCTGAATGACTTGCACTTTTGAAGAAGACATGGACAACTGACACGAGAATTAGGAGGCAGACTTCAGTCTCAAGGCATCCGTGAAATCCGATGACTGCCCCAGCCTACCTTGAACAGGCTGTAAGTTTCAACATCTGTTATAATGTCCACCTTATATCACCTGAGAATCTGTATAACTGATATGATCTGTTGTAATGTCTGTACAGCTGATATGATCTGTTGTAATGTCTGTATAGATGATATGATCTGTTGTAATGTCTGAACAGCTGATATGATCTGTTGTAATGTCTGTACAGCGATATGATCTGTTGTAATGTCTGTACAGATGATATCATCTGTTGTAATGTCTGTACAGCTGATATGATCTGTTCTAATGTCTGTACAGATGATATGATCTGTTGTAATGTCTGTACAGTGATATGATCTGCTGTAATGTCTGTACAGATGATATGATCTGTTGTAATGTCTGTACAGATGATATGATCTGTTGTAATGTCTGTACAGATGATATGATCTGTTGTAATGTCTGTACAGTGATATGATCTGTTGTAATGTCTGTACAGTTGATATGATCTGTTGTAATGTCTGTACAGATGATATCATCTGTTGTAATGTCTGTACAGCTGATATCATCTGTTGTAATGTCTGTACAGCTGATATGATCTGTTGTAATATCTGTACAGCTGATATCATCTGTTGTAATGTCTGTACAGATGATATGATCTGTTGTAATGTCTGTACAGATGATATGATCTGTTGTAATGTCTGTACAGATGATATGATCTGTTGTAATGTCTGTACAGTTGATATCATCTGTTGTAATGTCTGTACAGATGATATGATCTGTTGTAATGTCTGTATAGATGATATGATCTGTTGTAATGTCTGTACAGTTGATATCATCTGTTGTAATGTCTGTACAGTTGATATGATCTGTTGTAATGTCTGTACAGTTGATATCATCTGTTGTAATGTCTGTACAGATGATATCATCTGTTGTAATGTCTGTACAGTTGATATCAACTGTTGTAATGTCTGTACAGATGATATGATCTGTTCTAATGTCTGTACAGATGATATGATCTGTTGTAATGTCTGTACAGTTGATATGATCTGTTCTAATGTCTGTACAGATGATATCATCTGTTGTAATGTCTGTACAGTTGATATCATCTGTTGTAATGTCTGTACAGTTGATATCATCTGTTGTAATGTCTGTACAGATGATATGATCTGTTGTAATGTCTGTACAGTTGATATGATCTGTTGTAATGTCTGTACAGTTGATATCATCTGTTGTAATGTCTGTACAGTTGATATCATCTGTTGTAATGTCTGTACAGTTGATATCATCTGTTGTAATGTCTGTACAGTGATATGATCTGTTGTAATGTCTGTACAGTGATATGATCTGTTGTAATGTCTGTACAGATGATATGATCTGTTGTAATGTCTGTACAGTGATATCATCTGTTGTAATGTCTGTACAGTTGATATCATCTGTTGTAATGTCTGTACAGTTGATATCATCTGTTGTAATGTCTGTACAGTTGATATGATCTGCTGTAATGTCTGTACAGATGATATGATCTGTTGTAATGTATGTACAGTTGATATGATCTGTTGTAATGTCTGTACAGATGATATGATCTGTTGTAATGTCTGTACATATGATATGATCTGTTGTAATGTCTGTACAGATGATATGATCTGTTGTAATGTCTGTACAGATGATATCATCTGTTGTAATGTCTGTACAGATGATATGATCTGTTCTAATGTCTGTACAGATGATATGATCTGTTCTAATGTCTGTACAGATGATATGATCTGTTCTAATGTCTGTACAGTTGATATGATCTGTTGTAATGTCTGTACAGTTGATATCATCTGTTGTAATGTCTGTACAGATGATATGATCTGTTGTAATGTCTGTACAGATGATATGATCTGTTGTAATGTCTGTACAGATGATATGATCTGTTGTAATGTCTGTACAGATGATATGATCTGTTCTAATGTCTGTACAGTTGATATGATCTGTTGTAATGTCTGTACAGATGATATGATCTGTTGTAATGTCTGTACAGTGATATGATCTGTTGTAATGTCTGTACAGATGATATGATCTGTTGTAATGTCTGTACAGATGATATGATCTGTTCTAATGTCTGTACAGTGATATGATCTGTTGTAATGTCTGTACAGATGATATGATCTGTTGTAATGTCTGTACAGATGATACAGTCAGTTGCAACCAAATCATGGCAGCACAGCAGACATAGATAGTCTGAAATTAAGCCTAGTTATATTTTCTCCACATGCTTAAAACATTTTATTGTCAAGAGACTTCGACCAAATATCCAGAGGGACAATACGTGGTGAAAGTCAACATCAAATGATGTGTACTTCAATCAGTCAGCAATTCCATATGGTACTTACCAGATTCTTCGGATTTAAAAGATGATGTAGATGGAGATATGGATGGTGAGGATGATGTTGTTGAAGTACTACACTCGCTGATGCTGCGTTCCTGGCGAGTGCGGTATGTGTTTTGGTTATGGTTAAAGTGATTCAGCTGGTCTAATCTGCGGCGAAGTCGTCGGTTCTCACGTTCCAACTGATCGCGCAGGAGCAGGGCCTTGCGCTCCTTCTCTTCTAAATTCTGTAGACAGTCACATTTATGAATTTTTCTAAATATTGACAACAAAACATGAATTATGAAACAGGTATTAAACGAAGACAAGTATGTAGAAATCTGTTGCGAGGCAAAGAAAGCATGATATGCCAATCAACCTCTACTGGGTACGGTGAGCAAGAAGCTACTGCATTGGAGGACGGAGCATGAATGAGCTGTATCGTTATGACAGGATGTCAATGTGGATAACAAGTAACAGCAGAAATAACAGCAGAAATATCAAAAAGAAGCCACCCTGCGAGAATCTTGGCTAATGTCAGAAACTCACAGAAGAGATTCCAACAAAGTGAGCCTGCTCTAATCATTTTGGTTTTGGCTATAGCTAAAGAGTTAAATAATGGCTAGAACATGTCACAGAACTGGCTGTCATGATCATGGGACTGAAGTCCATGGGTAGAACATGTCACAAAACTGGCTGTCATGATCATGGGACTGAAGTCCATGGGTAGAACATGTCACAAAACTGGCTGTCATGATCATGGGACTGAAGTCCATGGGTAGAACATGTCACAGAACTGGCTGTCATGATCATGGGACTGAAGTCCATGGCTAGTGCAAGCAGAGGAGCTAGTGAGTATACCAGTATCTCAGAGATACAGGAGATCATATGTTTAGTCACAGAATGTTTAATATAATTTGAGTGTGACAGGAGAGAACATGTTTAGTTACAGAATGTTTAACATTTGAATGTGACAGGAGCTGGCAGTTTTAGTCATAAAATGTTAAACAAAAGGTAAATGTGACAGAAGATAACATGTTTAGTTTGAGTGTGGGTCAATGTAGCAACTGGTGCATGTGGGTTAATGTAGCAGCTGATGAGTGTGAGTTAATGTAGCAACTGGAGCATGTGGGTTAATGTAGCAGCTGATGAGTGTGAGTTAATGTAGCAACTGGAGCATGTGGGTTAATGTAGCAGCTAGTGCATGTGGGTTAATGTAGCATGACTGGAGGAGCAACTGGAGCATGTGGGTTAATGTAGCAACTGGTGCATGTGGGTTAATGTAGCAGCTGGTGAGTATGTGGGTTAATGTAGCAGCTGATGGTTGGTTGTGCAAATGGTGCATTAATGTAGCAACTGGAGCATGTGTGGTTAATGTAGCAACTGGTGCATGTGGGTTAATGTAGCAAGCATGTGGGTTAATGTAGCAACTGTGAGTGTTAATTAATGTAGCAACTGGTGCATGTGGGTTAATGTAGCAAATGGATGTGCACTGATGTGGGTTAATGTAGCAACTGAAGCATGTGGGTTAATGTAGCAACTGGTGCATGTGAGTTAATGTAGCAACTGGAGCATGTGGGTTAATGTAGCAACTGGTGCATGTGGGTTAATGTAGCAACTGGTGCATGTGGGTTAATGTAGCAACTGGTGCATGTGGGTTAATGTAGCAACTGGAGCATGTGGGTTAATGTAGCAACTGGTGCATGTGGGTTAATGTAGCAACTGATGCATGTGGGTTAATGGTGCATGTGGGTTAATGTAGCAACTGGAACTGGGCATGTGGGATGAGTGTTAGTTAATGTAGCAACTGGAGCAACTGGTGCATGTGGGTTAATGTAGCAACTGGTGCATGTGGGTTAATGTAGCAACTGGTGCATGTGGGTTAATGTAGCAGCTGGCATGTGGGTTAATGTAGCAACTGGTGATGTGGTTAATGTAGCAACTGGTGCATGTGGGTTAATGCAGCAACTGTTAATGTGCATGTGGGTGGGTTAATGTAAGCTGGTGCATGTGTGAGTTAATGTAGCATGTGAGTTAATGTAGCACTGGAGCATGTGGGTTAATGTAGCAACTGGTGCATGTGGGTTAATGTAGCAACTGGAATGCATGTGAGTTAATGTAGCAACTGGTGCTTGTGTTAATGTGTGCATGTGGGTTAATGTAGCAACTGGATGCATGTGGGTTAATGTAGCAACTGGAGCATGTGGGTTAATGTAACAACTGGTGCATGTGGGTTAATGTAGCAACTGGTGCATGTATGTTAATGTAGCAACTGGAATATGTGGGTTAATGTAACAACTGGTGCATGTGGGTTAATGTAGCAACTGGTGCATGTATGTTAATGTAGCAACTGGAATATGTGGGTTAATGTAACAACTGGAATATGTGGGTTAATGTAACAACTGGAATATGTGGGTTAATGTAACAACTGGAATATGTGGGTTAATGTAGCAACTGGTGCATGTGGGTTAATGTAACATCTGGTGCATGTGGGTTAATGTAGCAACTGGTGCATGTATGTTAATGTAGCAACTGGAATATGTGGGTTAATGTAACAACTGGTGCATGTGGGTTAATGTAGCAGCTGATGAGTGTAAATTAATGTAGCAACTGGAGCATGTGAGATAATGTAGCAACTGGTGCATGTATGTTAATGTAGCAACTGGTGCATGTTGATTAATGTAGCAACTGGTGCATGTGGGTTAATGTAGCAACTGGTGCATGTGGGTTAATGTAGCAACTGGTGCATGTGGATTAATGTAGCAGCTGATGAGTGTGAGTTAATGTAGCAACTGGAGAATGTGGGTTAATGTAGCAACTGGAGCATGTGGGTTAATGTAGCAACTGGAGCATGTGGGTTAATGTAGCAGCTGATGAGTGTGAGTTAATGTAGCAACTAAAGCATGTGAGTTAATGTAGCAACTGGTGCATCTGGGTTAATGTAGCAGCTGATGAGTGTGCGTTAATGTAGCAACTGGAGCATGTGGGTTAATGTAGCAACTGGTGCATGTGGGTTAATGTAGCAGCTGATGAGTGTGAGTTAATGTAGCAACTGGAGCATGTGGGTTAATGTAGCAACTGGTGCATGTGGGTTAATGTAGCAACTGGTGCATGTAGGTTAATGTAGCAACTGGTGCATGTGGATTTATGTAGCAACTGGTGCATGTAGGTTAATGTAGCAACTGGTGCATGTGGATTAATGTAGCAACTGGTGCATGTGGGTTAATGTAGCAACTGGTACATTTGTGTTAATGTAGCAACTGGTGCATGTGGGTTAATGTAGCAACTGGTGCATGTGGGTTAATGTAGCCGCTGATGAGTGTGAGTTAATTTAGAAACTGGTGCATGTGGATTAATGTAGCAGCTGATAAGTGTGAGTTAATGTAGCAACTGGAGCATGTGGGTTAATGTAGCAGCTGATGAGTGTAAGTTAATGTAGCAACTTGTGCATGTGGGTTAATGTAGCACCTGGTACATGTGGGTTATTGTAGTAGCTGATGAGTGTGAGTTTATGTAGCAACTGGTGCATGTGGGTTAATGTAGCAACTGATGAGTGTGGGTTAGTGTAGCAACTGCAGCATTAGGGTTAATGTAGCAGCTGGTGCATGTGGGTTATTGTAGCAACTGGTGCATGTGGGTTAATGCAGCAACTGGTGCATGTAGGTTATTGTAGCAACTGGTGCAGGTTGGTTATTGTAGCAACTGGGATGTGTGGCTTAAAGTAGCAAATGGGATGTGTGGGTTAATGTAGCAACTGGGATGTGTGGGTGAATGCAGTAACTGGTGCATGTGCGTTAATGTAGCAACTGGGTTATGTGGGTTGATGTAGTAACTGGGATGTATGGGTTAATGTAGCAACTGGGATGTGTGGGTTAATGTAGCAAATGGGATGGGTGGGTGAATGTAGCAACTGGGATGTGTGGGTCAATGTAGCAACTGGGATGTGTGGGTCAATGTAGCAACTGGGATGTGTGGGTTAATGTAGCAACTGGGATGTGTGGGTCAATGTAGCAGCTAGGATGTGTGGGTTAATGTAGCAACTGGGATGTGTGGGTTAATGTAGCAACTGGGATGTGTGTGTTAATGTAGCAACTGGGATGTGTGGGTTAATGTAGCAACTGGGATGTGTGGGTTAATGTAGCAACTGGGATGTGTGGGTTAATGTGGCCAGGGAATGAGAAACTTTAGTTGCAACAAATATTTCACACCTTGAATGCACAAAATTATTCATCCTTGCAACATTAACAGGGTCAGGATAGCAGGATATTTCCTTTCTTAAAAGTAAAAAAAAAAAAAATATTTCCTTTGCTTTCATTACACTTTTTGGTGTAAAAATAACCCTAGCCTAACCTTCATATGTTATTGACCTATTTATCTCCCGTTTTGGCAAGGAAGTATATAATTAAAAGTCAAGCTACAGTTCAGATGTTCCCAGATTTCTGATGGGGCACAAGATCCCAGTTCAAGATATCTGAAGGGACACTTTTTCCGTGCCAAAAACTCTAACTTATCTTTGATTTCAAAACAAAACTCCCAATTCATCTTTGTTCTTTAAAAAAAAAACTTGCCCAACTTACATGAGTGCTAAAAAAAAAACAACAACCTACCAACTGCTATTTTATGCTAAAAACCACCTTCCCAACTCTACTTGGTAGGAAATATTTATTTAGCACAGATGTGAGTTTTTTCCGACCAAGTTGAGTTGGGAGGGTGGTTTATATGTATATATATTTATGGCATTGTGGATACTGGAAGAGAGGTTTATAGACACATGGCTAGCCCTGATCCTAACGACAGCATTGACCATTTAACAAGAATGTGTGCATCTTCATCTTTAGACTCAGAACACAACATACTCCACTCAATGGACACCTAAACAGAGTGCCAGATATGTAACTACCCCTACCAAACTGTTGACCATCATCTCTTTGAGTGCCTAAAACTCAACGAGACTAAAAAAAATGCTACTCCCTCCGAGACCAGACAAGTGGAACATCTTGTATGGAGGAAAAGAACGGCTTGTGAAAACATGTACATTCCACTACATGGCATTGACAACAACATATGTATGTATATATATATAGTTATTCAAGCCTGACACTGCAAAAGCATTTTTGCAGACACCCTGGTTTATAGGAAACAATTTATTTATTTATATCCTCTGTACATAAGGAGCTATAAGGATAAAGGTCATACATACCTTAATAAATGACCTAGCTTTCGTTAAGAGACCTAGTGTTGTATGACGAGAGGAGTCGACTCCCAGCGGGACCAGATCTTTTAACCTCTCCAGACAATTCCTCAAATGAGCCCTCCTGGAAACATTGACAAAATCACTGGTTAACTGGGTTGATTTATTCAGTCTTTTGCTTTCTCCTTTTTACTGTAGAGAGACATGTTTTATGTCCTCTACTATTCTGGTCTGTAGAAGTACCTCAAAATATTTTACTGCTTCATCTTCTTCTGTGCAGTGCAGACATAATCTAATCTGTCCTCTTCTACCCTGGGGTGCAGACAGAATCTAATCTGTCCTCTTCTACCTTGGGGTGCAGACAGAATCTAATCTGTCCTCTTCTACCTTGGGGTGCAGACAGAATCTAATCTGTCCTCTTCTACCCTGGGGTGCAGACAGAATCTAATCTGTCCTCTTCTACCCTGGGGTGCAGACAGAATCTAATCTGTCCTCTTCTACCCTGGGGTGCAGACAGAATCTAATCTGTCCTCTTCTACCCTGGGGTGCAGACAGAATCTAATCTGTCCTCTTCTTCCCTGGGGTGAAAACAGAATCTAATCTGTCCTCTTCTACCCTGGGGTGCAGACAGAATCTAATCTGTCTTCTTCTTCCCTGGGGTGCAGACAGAATCTAATCTGTCCTCTTCTACCCTACAGTGTAGTCGGAATCTAGTCTTTCTTCTACCCTGCAGTGTAGACGGAATCTAGTCTGTCTTCTACCCTACAGTACAGACAAAATGTAGTCTGAATATGTGAATATTCCACGGCTATTTTGTAAATTTCAGAAGTACTGTCAAACCAAATCCTAGGGGTTGCGGCATGGAACATAATACCAACACTATCCTGTTAAATCTTGTGGCTGCTTGCGGCATGGAACATAATACCAACACTATCCTGTTAAATCTGTCTGGCTGCTTGCGACATGGAACAAAATACCAACACTATCCTGTTAAATCTGTCTGGCTGCTTGCGGCATGGAACATAATACCAACACTATCCTGTTGAATCTGTCTGGCTGCTTGCGGCATGGAACATAATACCAACACTATCCTGTTGAATCTGTCTGGCTGCTTGCGGCATGGAACATAATACCAACACTATCCTGTTAAATCTGTCTGGCTGCTTGCGACATGGAACAAAATACCAACACTATCCTGTTAAATCTGTCTGGCTGCTTGCGGCATGGAACAAAATACCAACACTATCCTGTTAAATCTGTCTGGCTGCTTGCGGCATGGAACATAATACCAACACTATCCTGTTAAATCTGTCTGGCTGCTTGCGGCATGGAACATAATACCAACACTATCCTGTTAAATCTGTCTGGCTGCTTGCGGCATGGAACATAATACCAACACTATCCTGTTAAATCTGTCTAGGCTTTGAATTGGTTAGATGATAAATAAAAGTAACTAAAGGACGCTTTACCCTCCTTCAGACGTATAGCGTATTTGCACTGGGCCTTTATTGTTTAGTGGCGTCCGTTACATAGGCGTTGTGAGTCAGACTCAATGTACCGTGATCGAAACCAACTGCTGGTTGCGTGGATTTTCATCATGGTATGAGGCGTCGCAGGTCGACCCAGCCTAAAATGGGTGCCAAGATGTATGTCCTGGGGAAGTAAAGACAGCCGGCGTAATGCTAACTACATTACCCACCAAGTACCGTATGCCTGATGCGCCTAAAGGCGTGAAAAGTGATCTTCACTTACTATATTTTATAGACCAGATGGCACTTGCTGTGTGATGTGGTCAGCATCAGGCCGGACGCCTTTACTTCGGCACCTGCTGTGTGATGTAGTCAGCATCACGCCGGTCGCCTTTACTTCGGCACCTGCTGTGTGATGTGGTCAGCATCACGCCGGACGCCTTTACTTCGGCACCTGCTGGGTGATGTGGTCAGCATCACGCCGGCCGCCTTTACTTCGGCACCTGCTGGGTGATGTGAGCATCACGCCGGACGCTTTTACTTCCTGGCTCGACCTGGGAGCCAGTCATTTCCTAAAAAAAGTCCAGCTCCCGTGAGGACCCGAACCCACGGCCTTCCGATCCACAGGCGAGTCTCTATCCCACGGCCGCTCCCTAAGCTTACAGTTAGCCTGACGTAAATAACACAGAGAAGGAAACACAGATTTATGTTTCAACTGCACATTTACTAGTTGAAGTATCCAGTATGAGTTGTCTACCCTTAGCTCGGTACTATACGCAACCCTTCAGCATTGATTCCATGATAAATACCGTTAATCAGAGGGAAATGAGGCTTTTCTGCCTACTCCCGGACCACAAGAAGTCCGTCCCCGGTTGCCGCGAAGTCTGCTTTAACCAACTGCGATAGCAAGCCAGGCATATTTACATTCAAGTGTGCTCTCAAAGAAAGACACCCTATCCCCTAAATTAGAAAAACATCTCGAAAGGGGGTGGCAGGGTGTCCTTAGCGCTCCCAACACCTCAACTTTTCTAGGAAAATAAATAGGGGAGGGGGGTGGGGGCTCAGATTTTTGAGCAGACACCAACCCATAATTTTGTTAGGTGTCTAAAATGGCTTCTTTAACCACGTATAGAGATTGTCGCCGAAGTATTATCTATGTATACATTTCATATTTTTGTCAAGTATATTATGTGGCTTAGTCGATGCGAACGCTTGGTAATGCCGGGTTCTATCCCAGCTGCGGGCCATGCGCCTTGCGTTGGTTTCGACAGTGGTATCAAAGAAGCCGACCGTCCAAAAAGGAATGGCAAACTACTGGACGTAAATTTGCCTAGAATAACCACACAACAGCCAGGGGCTGTTGTGGTTGGTTCTGCAACGTCCTGTAAAGGATACGCAACTAATCTATATTGATTATTTGTTCAGCAAATTATTATTATTATATACGTATAATAATATACTTAGCAGTCCCCTTACAGAAAATATGTGAGAGGCAGATCCTCAGCTTTTTAAAATGGGGGGGGGGGGGGGGCGCTGACCTCTCCCTTTCGGTTCCGGCGCCCACGTTGTTGATATGCCACAAATAATCTCCTTAAAGTGGGTCACGTCTGCAAGAACCGGAAGTCAATAGTTAGCAGAAATGAAGCTTGCGTTGAGGCGGCCATGTCCAACGTTCAGTTACTTCACAGATGTACAGGTTTGTGATGAAGTGCCTCGTATTTTTCGATTAAATCTGTTTCGTCGGCTGACCTCAAAACTCGGCTCCGTCCTGCTGTGACCCAGCTGCCATAAACACCGCCAGCCCAGTGTGTTTCGCTAGGGTCCGGGGAAAACATTAGTGACGTGCAAGAGCAGCCTACACTTAATCTGACCTAATTCCAGCAGGTCAGAGGCAGAAAGCCGTGAACACTTCGCAAATGTTGAAAAAAAAAAAAAAACCGACGCAGTTCACTTGGCTCGCTATTCAAAGATGTTGAGGAGATTCAGGTCGTCCAAACTGTATCAGCAAATGTACTCAAAACTGTAAGAGCAGACGGGTACCAACTGATAATATATGTCCGGCTAGCCGAGTTTCTAACATCACAGTTATTAATTATATATTATTATGCCTTGCCAGATGGCTCAGGCGCCTGACTCTCCACATATCTGGGTTCTCAGTGTTCTGGATCGTTCAGACTATCTGTTATCGCTTCTATCAGTCTACTAATGCCTCTTTTACGTCTGATCTTTCTGATGGTATCTTGTTCTCCAACGTCCGTCTTTTCACCACTTAACAAAGAACGGGTTGTCTCTTAGCTACTAATAATTAGTCAGTCATGCCTTCAATAATATCAAGTAACGCTACGTTTACTAGTGACAGTGCTGTTCAGCTGTTGTATGCTACTGACAGCCATTTACCCGTAGTGGACTGCACCTTTGGTTTTGTCTACTGTGATAATATGTATGTAAATATAACAAATTGCACTTGACGTTTTATCATCATATTTGTTGCACTCTTATTGATCAGACGAATACATTATTTAAAAAATTCTATTGTTCGCAATTGTCGTCTTTAGTCTTATTCCAGAACTAAATTTTGTGTACACATCTGCTTTACAGTTCTGACTCACATTTATGCAGACTGTTGGTTTCGTGCTTCCCAGGAAGATGCAGTCCTACTTCAAAATGCTTGTTATGGGCTGTGGGTCCCCCTCCACCCCACAGATCCCGACACCCACAAGAGAAGCAACATATATGAAGACCACTTTACTCATTCACCAATGAGATTTAATGATCACAAGTATATACGTGACTAAGGAGTACCAAGCCAGCATGTGCTGCACACAGGGGTTCTTGCCTTGAGCTTTTATTATTATTCTCCTGTCAACACCTGTTTGGTGCCACTAGAAAGACAGAAGGACGACTAACAGATGATCAGAGGCTGCACCTGGCTGCATGTCTTGCTGAGATGTCCCAGCTTGTCACTGATTCCACTGATCTGTCTTCTTCAAAGCCGCATTGTTTCCATTTTCATGTTGTATACTCTCACTGCCGGTGTCACTATGTTAATTCGCATTAGGTGGCTGAATCATTTAAGTCTGTTTATTAACGAATTCTTCTTCTTCTCTTCCACCTTGTACCTCATCGAAGTGTCGGGAAAAGGGGGGGGGGGGGGGGGGGGGGGGGGGAGAGATGTAATTTTTACGTTGATCGGCTCTGTCAAGAGCACTATTAAGACTGATGGTCATTTCTGTAAGGCTGTTCTTAATGCCATCACTCCATATTTTCCGAGGTCTTCCACTCGCTCTATACCCGTTGTAACGTTTTAGTGTGGCTCGCTGTGGCGGATAGTACCAGGGCATTCTTGTTAGGTGTCCAAACCACTTCAGTTGTTGTTCTTTGATGACCTGTAAGACTGGCTTTATTCCTAGCATTCGTCTGATTTCATGATTTCGTAGTCTGTCCTTCCTTGAAACTCCTGCAGCTCTTCTAAGGCATTTCATCTCTGTTGTCACAATTTTACGTTCATTGGAGGATTAAGTGTCCACGTTTGGCATTGATAGCATAGTGCTGCTGGTTAGTTTTCTCTCACTCTGTCAAATACTTTTCTCCATCTCATTACACAGCTGGTTAGTTTTCTCTCACTCTGTTTGTCAAACAACCAGTTTTCACAGTGTAGACCTAATGTTGCTATGAAGACTGCATTGATAATTTGTCTTTTTATTTCTGTGGCATAGCCTGCTGATTCCAGATTGGGGGTAAACTGATACTGGATGTTATTAGCTGGCTAGTTTCTAGTTCTCTGTCTAGTCTCTCCATTTCCACCTCACTTTCTTCTCTCATTCTTTCTAAGCTACTATGGTTCATAACAAGGAATTAGTTCAGTATCTGAAACATGCTGTTTATGGGCCAGTTTTCTTCATTGTTGACATTCTGTAGAAAGTGTTTATATGACCACAAATCTACAATTGTTTTAGTTTGATGCCCCCCCCCCCCCCCCCCCCCCAGCTAATCAATCATTTAACACAATTTCAACTCTTGCGATAGAACCACGTCTTCTGGTGCTCTTTCCCTTCAAACCTCAATCATCATGCAATTTGTTATCCAATGTTTACATTTGCTCAAAGCATTTCAAGGAATCTGACTTTCCGGATAGCAAACTTCAACTTTGATAGTATTGTAGTTATAATTTTTCACTAGATCTATCTTCCCCTCACAGGCATCAACTTCAAAATGTCCCGGTACAGACATAAGTGTGTGGTGCCAGTGACACAGTGCTATACTGGGTCCTCTTTTAAAAAAATGACCACAAATAACATAAAGTGTGCTTAATAACAACAAACAGGACCTACCTATTCTTTTCCAATTCATTATGTGTTGACCTGTGATGGATAAAATGAAACTAAAAGAATTATACAGAATTTTACCTACAAAGAAATGAGTTAATATTTTCAGGGAAATGTGTCAACTAAATTTAATTCTAGTAACTCAGGACCATGGCAAGTTCACAAAAGTGTTTGGTAAAAAATGAGTTATAAGCATGAGTTAAATTTATACATTTTCAATGAAATAACACATGGAAATTTACTGTATAAACGGTTGAAAATTTACATGCAATGCATATATGCTGGCATAACTTATGAACACAGAGATAGGAATACCATCCATTAGAGCAACCCCTGAGATCTGTAGAGAGGCAAGAATGCCTATGCCATCTGGCAGCGTAATTATTTTATGTGACTGTGTTTTCTTAAAGTTCACATAATCACCATCAATTTCCACTTCTGCCATTAAGCGTTGTGGGGAGGAACAGTTTAGGATCCATTACTTGATGGGCAGCAATGGCTATTGTCATTCTGAGTTGATGTTGAAGCTCTGTCTTCTTCTTTACATGATCTTTTACCACTTTGGGTGTCGAGGAAGATATTTTCTTCTTTACATGATCTTTTACCACTTTGGGTGTCGAGGAAGATATCTTCTTCTTTACATGATCTTTTACCACTTTGGGTGTCCAGGAAAATATCTTCTTCTTTACATGATCTTTTACCACTTTGGGTGTCGAGGAAGATATCTTCTTCTTTACATGATCTTTTACCACTTTGGGTGTCGAGGAAGATATCTTCTTCTTTACATGATCTTTTACCACTTTGGGTGTCCAGGAAGATATCTTCTTCTTTACATGATCTTTTACCACTTTGGGTGTCCAGGAAGATATCTTCTTCTTTACATGATCTTTTACCACTTTGGGTGTCCAGGAAGATATCTTCTTCTTTACATGATCTTTTACCACTTTGGGTGTCGAGGAAGATATAAGGCCCCGTTCCCTGCTCTTCTGGCTGCTTGGACCATAGACACATTGTGGTGCTGTAGAGCTGCTCTGATGTTATCTTCCCATCTTGTTGTTGGTCTACCTCTTGCTCTGCATCCTTTTCTTTCTCTATATGCCTTTTATGGTATAGCATCAAAAGGCATTCTCTCCAAGTGTGCAAACCATTAGATTTGCTGCCTTTGTATGTAATTTATAATTGGTTTTGTGCCGACATGATCTCATATGACCTCATTCATGGTTTTATCACTTCTTGTCACTCCTATGGTCTTTCTCAAACACCTCATTTCCATGGTTACTAATTTTTTTATGTTTCCTTATAAGTGACCATGTCTTGGACAGGTAGCATAGAGTGGGAATGAATATGCTTTGTATGAGATGTTTCTCTGTGCTGACTGGGATTGCCCTTTGTTGTAAGAGGGGAGCTAGCTGTCCCAATACTGCTTTACTGCATCAGATGTTAATTTCTTCACCGAATTTACCATCTACAGTGAATGTTGTTCCAAGATATTTAAACTCAGATGCCTGTATAATATTTGCATGCTCAATTGCTATGTTTAAATTCTGCTTCTTTCTTCTTGTTGACATTACTTCTGTTTTTTTGAGTCCATTGATATCTCACTGTAGGTATCTGTTGTAGCAGTAAAGAATTTCTTTAATGTCATCAATCCATTGATATCTCACTGTAGGTATCTGTTGTAGCAGTACAGAATTTCTTTAATGTCATCAATCCATTTTCTCCTAGGGCAGCCTCTTTACTGCTGTAAAGTGCCATGCTGAACATGCACTGCTGTAAAGTGCCATGCTGAATATATACTGCTGTAAAGTGCCATGCTGAACATGTACTGCTGTAAAGTGCCATGCTGAACATGTACTGTTGCAAAGTGCTATGTGAAACTTTACAGTTGTTAAGTGCTATGCTGAATAAGTAGTACTCACAATGTCAGTGAAAACTTGTAAGCTTTGTGCAAAAAAGGACAAAAGGGTGGCAGAAAGATAAATACCTCTTTGATCTGACTACAAGGATGAGTGGGACAAGAACATAGATCTGATCTGTGAATGTAACAATCTCCTAGGCTTTATCAGCATGCTAATCGATACATTATGATGTTGATAATTATGTTACGTACTAACATAAGAGATGTGCTATCAACATAACAGACTGGTATAGAAAACCTAATCACCTCAACTCAAAGAAATAAGTGAAAATCAATACTTACATGTTAACATAGCAAAAACAAAGATAATGCATACAGATAAAACTACCATGGAGAAATAAATATGTGTTATAATGAGGACAGATTTGAGGTGGTGGAAAATTGTGAATATCTTGGGTCATTGATTACCAACAATGATGCCACAATGAAAGAAATTTAACGAGGACTATCATTTGCTCTTTAAAGACTAAAACAAATGCATAAATTATGGAGTTGGATAGACAGAACCACAAAAAATAGATTTCTAAGACCATGCATCTTTCCCTTTGCAACATATGCCTGTGAGACCTGGACACTTACTAAACAAGCTGAACACGCATAAATGCCTTTGAATACACAGGTTACACACAGACTCTAAGAATATCATGGGTAAAGAGAAGAACAAATGCATCCATTCTTTAAGAACAGAATACTGAAGAAGGCTGGCTATTAAAGATGATAAAACACAGAAAATGAAAATGTTCTGGTCACTTGAAACATCATAAAAGTTTAGAGAGAACAATAATGGAGTGGTATATGCCTGGGAAGAGAGGAAGAAGAAGGCCAAAGAGAAGATGGGTGCAGGATGTGGCGGAGATCTGCAGGTGGGTGTATCAGACGCAAGACATCTTGCTTGTGATCGAGAAGTTTTCCAGAAGGTTGTTATGGGAGGGAGATTCTGCAAAGGACATGACACTGACTGACTGACTGACTGACTAAAATATAAACTAAATCTACAGACCATGATTATGTTAACATATAAAATTCATAAAAAGTCAAAGATATTAATCAGTTTAGATACTGACAAACATACAATAAGAACCCCTAACAGATACACAAACAGTTAACTCTGGCTACAAAATAAATCAATCAATAATAAATGAGTCCAGATATAAGAAGGCTTGGTTTGAGTGGTTAGGAATCAAGCTCTATTAGAACAGACAAGATAGAAGAACATAAAGAAAGTAACTAACAATTTATACAATAATTATATCCATTATTGTCTGCTGCTAGGCAGACTAAAGCCAGTTATTAACATATGCAGATTAAATATCACTCTATTATCACAGAGATAGAACAGTCACTGTATGTAAATATGAAAATCAGATTACTGGTGGGGGGGGGGGGGGGGGGTAGTCACTTTACAGCAGGAATGTGCAACCTGTTTTGGTCCTTGGACCAGATTGATCTAATTGTTGGCCCGACAGAAACAATCCATTATAAACAAACACCCTGATTTCGTCGTACCTATGATCCCATCATCAGGCAACATTTCTGCTTTTGAATATTTTGCTATTTGATGCGTTCAAGCTCCAGATTATGTAGTACTTTCACACCAGCCTGATGGGCCAGCCACAACTGACCAGCTGACCAGTTTTGGCCAGTGAGAGAGCCTGTTAGCCCACCCCTGCTGTACAGTAAGATAAGAGAGAAGATAGAGACAGAACAGTCATTGTACAGTAACCTCTCAAATTGTGATAATTTACTAGAGAGAGAGAGAGAGAGAGAGAGAATAGTCACTGTATAATAATCTCTGGAAAGGTGTTAATCTGCTGGAGGAAACAAAACAAGCGTGGTGTTGGGGGGGGGGGGGGGGGAGTACAGTCACTGTACAGTAGTACAGTAATCTGGAAATGGGAAAATCTACTAGAGAGAGGGGGGAGAGAGGAACAGTCACAGAGATGACAATCTACTGGGGAGAGAGGAACAGTCATAGAGATGACAATCTACTGGAGAGATGGAGAGAGAGAGAGAGAGAGGAACAGTCACAGAGATGACAATCTACTGGAGAGATGAAGAGAGAGAGGGGAACAGTCACAGAGATGACAATCTACTGGAGAGATGGAGAGAGGAACAGTCACAGAGATGACAATCTACTGGAGAGATGGAGAGAGAGAGGGGAACAGTCACAGAGATGACAATCTACTGGAGAGATGAAGAGAGAGAGGGGAACAGTCACAGAGATGACAATCTACTGGAGAGATGGAGAGAGAGAGAGGGGAACAGTCACAGAGATGACAATCTACTGGGGAGAGAGGAACAGTCATAGAGATGACAATCTACTGGAGAGATGGAGAGAGAGAGAGGAACAGTCACAGAGATGACAATCTACTGGAGAGATGGAGAGAGAGAGGGGAACAGTCACAGAGATGACAATCTACTGGAGAGATGGAGAGAGGAATAGTCACAGAGATGACAATCTACTGGAGAGATGGAGAGAGAGAGGGGAACAGTCACAGAGATGACAATCTTCTGGAGAGATGCAGAGAGAGAGAGAGAGAGGGGAACAGTCACAGAGACGACAATCTTCTGGAGAGATGAAGAGAGAGAGAGGGGAACAGTCACAGAGATGACAATCTACTGGGGAGAGAGGAACAGTCACAGAGATGACAATCTACTGGAGAGATGGAGAGAGAGAGAGGGGAACAGTCACAGAGATGACAATCTACTGGAGAGATGCAGAGAGAGAGAGAGAGGGGAACAGTCACAGAGATGACAATCTACTGGAGAGATGGAGAGAGAGAGAGAGGGGAACAGTCACAGAGATGACAATCTACTGGAGAGATGCAGAGAGAGAGAGGGGAACAGTCACAGAGATGACAATCTACTGGAGAGATGCAGAGAGAGAGAGGGGAACAGTCACAGAGATGACAATCTACTGGAGAGATGCAGAGAGAGAGAGAGAGGGGAACAGTCACAGAGATGACAATCTACTGGAGAGATGCAGAGAGAGAGAGGGGAACAGTCACAGAGATGACAATCTACTGGAGAGATGCAGAGAGAGGGGGGGGGAACAGTCACAGAGATGACAATCTAGTGGAGAGATGCAGAGAGAGAGAGAGAGGGGAACAGTCACAGA